ATTCCAGAAGATTCAATGCTGAAGCCCAAGACTGTGATTAAGACTCAGGCCTAACTGATACCAGAATGTTTCCCAGTGCCAAACAAAACAAATAAAAAAAAAAACAAAAACAAAACAAAACAAAAAAACACACATAAAAACAACCAAGGAAAAACAAAACCAAGCCCACAAACCAAACACACCACTGTTCAAGGGAGTCAGTCTCTCACATCTTTCTGTAAACAAGTCACAAGCCTGCACTGAGACTGAGCAAGAAAATGAGAGTAACTATTTCCTGATAACTCACTTATAAGAGGTGAGTAAACTGTACCACTCATTTAGTCCCGAGCAGCAACACAGAGCCAGCATTTCACATTTTCCCAATAGTGATAGATCAGAAAACTCTGAGATCTATATATATTAATATATTTTAATATTTTTCAAACTCAGGCTGCTTTCATCAAGTATTAGTTTTTTCTAATATATATTGATTTCTACTTAAATGTATTATTCTATTTTAAATGTAACTAGCCAATAAAACCAGAGATGCTTTTTTGCCCATAGCTTTATCCTGCATTGCTTTTCAGTGAAGCACAAAAAAAAACCATTCTTTTAAAAATTTTTCATATTTGCATGTTTGATGGCACTACTGGTCTCTGCACTAGGTAATTTTGTTATTATAGTTTGTATCTCTAAACCCCAAAATTACTAATACGAGTCTTGTCATAAAACAAAATAACTCAATCAACAATTATAAATAAAAAATTTGTAACAAACCAAAAAATACATGAATCCTGAGCTTCACAGAACCAAGAACTGAACCTTGGCACGTACCCCAGGGCTCCAGCAGGCAGCATACATTAACATTAACACAGATGCTGTACTGTTAGAGAAACACGAAAAGCTTATGATCTTGCTAAAATTAAGCAAAGAGGAATATTTTACTGTATGTTTTAAGAGAATCTATTTGAAATATATTTTATTCTACAGGAAGCTTTTACTATGAAAAATTTGCAACAGTGGAAATCCAGGAAAGCCCCTTTTAAACTCCACCTCAGTGAAATTACCTGGTTAAGGAAAGCAACCTCTAGGGCATAGCAAGCCTGTTTCTGCACTTCCATGTTACCTGCTCATACCCAGAAGGGATTCATTTTACCAAGTGACAACATACATATGGATATCCTAAATTTGGATTTAGGACTAAAATTAGTCCTAATCCAAGCAGAAGGCATTGCTATTTCAAAGGTGACCAAAAAAAATGTGTGCTAAAAAGCTCACGTTACTCCAACAATGTTGGTGTAAATTAGAAATAGGACACAAGGTGCTTTCTGCAAAAGTAAGTGGAGTAAAGAAATTTTCCAGAACAAAAGATCTTGCCATGGTGTAGGACAGACGCTCCACCTGAACAGCTCACAAGACTGTCACTCAGGAAAGTATCATGCCAGCAAGTGCTTTGAGGCTACCAAAACGCTTGGCAGAGGCCTGAAGGCTACAAGCAGGAATCTGCCCTTTCCTCCATGGCTGTCCCGGAGTTCCCAGGGAATCTCAGCCACCTCCTGGCAGCGAGGGAAAGTGTCTCAGATGTCCTCCAGACTGCAAAAGGAAAGCTTTAGAAACCATCACCACCCCTGCCACAGGGGCACAGAAATGCATACCCCTGGAGAACTCCCTCCCTCACCCCACTTTTCTCCAACTCCTCACAGACCTCCGTGTGCTGGAAGTGTAGTTTAAGTTCCACTCTTCCCTGCCAACAGGATCCAGGAGCAGAAAAGCAGCACATCAGACATGCAGGACAGAGGCCAAACTTCAGCTTTTCTTCCTCTTCCCCACCAGTCCCAGGCCCACTAGAAAGATGGTCACTGAATACCAGTCACAGCATGGCATATGTGAGGGGCTGGGGCCAGAACCAAGGAGGGGAACCCAAGACAAGCATCACACTATGGATTGGACTATGGGTGCTACACTGGTTCAGGCAATTTACCAGTGTCTGCTTTCAGGATTTTGCCATAACTGTGATTTCTGTTTACCTACCTCAAATCTGACATTTGGTAGCCTTGAAGAAATGCAGGTGAATGTGAACGTGCTAAAATATTTTCTAATCAGATTCTGTTCCTATTTCAGAGAGATTATGCCTTTTACATTAGTCAATGAAAGAAAAGCCCAAGTAGGAAGAAAAAAAATTACGTTCCCTACTCAGCAGTAACATGCATCTCTTCAGCTTGTCTGGATTCTATCCTTGCTATGACTGGCAAGTGATTCAGATTAGTCTGCAATACAATAAAGCAAAATCTGGTTACTCCTTCAAACATATTATGGCAGCAGCAGATTACTATATCAAACACCTAAGTTCTCTGTTCAGAAAGATGTTGGTAGTTTTGCAAACTTTTTAAAGAAGCATATTTCTAAACAATTCTTCCTATTTTCTACTTTGCAATAAAAGTAAAGAAGGGTAACTGACAGCGTAATTCAAAACACAGTTGCATTTTACCTCTGAAGAGAAGCAATTTTCTGCTACTTCAGCAATGCTTAATGAAATATCCTTCCCTAGTTTCTAGGTTGGTTTGTTTGGTTGTTTTGTTTTTTTTTTTCCCCCTTCTAAAATGAAACTGTCATTCAAAGATCCATTTTTCTCAGACTGGGAAAGGCAGCATAAACTCCCACTCTTTATGACTACCCCTGTACTCATTCTGCTGTTCGCTGCCTAGTAAGATGGGAGTAGTAAATTACGTGTTAGACCACAATTAAATAATGCAGATACAGAGAAGTGAGTGTTTAAGCTGAAACACACCTATACAAATAAAAATAAATAAACAAGATTGTATGCCCCAGAAATAGCTGCATTTCAAAAACTGAACAAGGCTGTGAACTTCAAGTAAAGGCTGACATTCTCAGAACTGGTTTGCCAGAAAACCACTCACCGGCTTTCTGTAGTGAACACACAGCTATACGATTGAACCGCTGGTCTGCCACACTGACTGACCATGTTTGCTGCTAACAGCACATCTTGCTGCAAGCAAGAGCCTGTAATTCAGCACAACAGTGAGACCCTCAGAAGAGACCCAAACATCCTAGGATTTCTCATCAAGGTATTACAGAGAATGAGGCAAGACAAAGTCACCAGAAACAGTAATCCTATCTTATCCCTGTAACATGGAAAGGACTCAAAGTATACTGTTGAAGAACTGCCCATCACAACAGAAAAACACAATATAAAGAGATGGAAGCAGCTATTTATAACGCTTTGCTGTTATATATGCAATATACAAGGTATGCTGAACTTACAGAACCTAGGAATAGCTTTCAAGAAGTACAAAAGTAAGTGTTTAGCTCTGTTCCAAAAGGTTTTCAACTGTGAGTGACATTTTAACATACATAACATTTTCTACATTTCTCTTATGTAGCTTTCAAGAAAGAAAAGAGAGAATTCTTAGTGAAACTGCTTACTTACATTGAAGGCATTAACTGCATTTTTATCATAATACTTCTTCTTTTCGTACTTATCCCTGATGAAAAATTCCACAGCTCTGGAAGCAGATAGTTTAAGGAAAATATGCATTCAGACAAACAGCAACATTAACCTAAAAACTGATGGGTTATTCAAATTAAAGAACTGCATTAGATTCTTGGTTCATCTTATTTTGTAGTTTTAAAGCAACAGAACAAACTGCTCTAAACAGAACAAATGCTACTGCAGTGTAGCAAAAGAGCTCCTTTTTACTACATAGAATTAATTCATTTCATCTTCTAAAGAAAGAATATGAGAAAGGTATACTAGAAGAAACTCAGTGTTCCACAGTTAGGACATTTTCACCTGGTATTTCTAAGCTACAGGGAAAAGTACTGCAAATACTTGAACAAAGGTACTCATATACAGTAAATAAAGTATAGTTTACCCTCATAATGTGGGAAAAAAAAATCCTTTCACTTCAGATAAAAGGTGAAATACATGTACCTGTTCTCTGATTTGCACAAATTACTTCATGCATCAAAAGCTGATCATAAACAGTTCTCTGAGACCAGTAAGTCCTCCATGAGAGTCTCCTATTATAACAAACATGTCTGTGGAAGGCAAAGAAAACTAACACACCAGTGAAAAACTGATATTGAAGAAAGGTGGAAATAGCAGCAAGTATATTGATGCAGAAGACCAGAATAATTCACTAGCTCAAACACAAAAAGAATAACTAGTTGTTTTCTCTCATCTGTTCATAAAGCAGTTCATCCAAAGCAGTATGAATACTTTAACTTTAGTAAAGGTGATTCTCAGATATATGTAGAATGAATTTTAATTAATCTGTTCAGCAATGTGCTTATTCATTCAAAAATTGAAACCAACTGTGGGAGCCCAGATTCTCTGCATCTGCAACTTCCTCAATTTTTTCTCGACTGACAGAAGGATCACCTTAGCTCCCCATACTGTCTCTTAAGATTAGCACCGAGCTCAGAGCACTTAGTTCTTTCATTTTGTGTATCAAGTTATATCATTAACAATCACATTTAGTTACAAACTGTATGCAAGTGTCACCTGAAGACACCAATTCATAAAAGTTGCAGAACCCAAACCATTATTTCCTACCTCATTCTAAATATAGCTACATTCTAAAGGGCATCATGAGCACTTGGAATGTACGATTATCTTGGTACTAATACTGCATTATTCCTTGCACATCACCAAAGGACTGTCATTTTGGAAAAAAGTCAATGTTTATTATCAAATTACAGATGAATGGAAGTTGTGTAATATGCAACTCCCACAAGTTTTTGAACTTAGCTAAGACTAAACAGAATTCCCTCCGAACGTTTATTTTCAACTTGTGGTACAAATTACTGCATTACATTATAACTAATTTAGAAGTAAACAGAAAAGGTTCAAAAATTGATTGTTATAAGATACCTTAGAACAACTTTTCTTCATTAAAAAGTCTTAGTTATTTACCAAAACTAACATTTTCAGATGCATATTTATTTTGTTAAGTGCTCTTAAGTTTTGTTTGCTCAGATTTTGGTGTTAGATATTTCAGTTCTTCTGCATACGTATCTCCCTATTTTTAGCAGTTTCCCAGAATGCAATTAGAAAGTTCTGATTTGATATTATTAACAGAGAAACAGAAGTATTTAAATTTCATAGGGTTTAATTTTTCAAGATGCTATTACACTGGTGTATTGTGTTAATTTTGAAAAATATTAACGTTATTCAAATTACTCCAATATGTGTGAATTTCTGGACCACATCTAAGTTTCTTTAGATCAACAACCTACTGTATTCTTGTTAACAAAAGAATTTAAAGCAACCTCAACCCTCAAAAATTCCAAAACAATTTCAAGGAGTAAAATAAAGAGACAAAAAAATTATTCAGCTTACTCTTGAAAAAAAACAAACACTTTCAAACAGGAAGTCAAAGCAGCTACACACACACACAAAAAAAAAAAAAAAATCAACAAGATGATCTTCGAAGTTAGTTTATAAAGAAAAGCATCCCTGCCAAGTATAAGGGAAGAAAAAAAAAATACCCAGAAAAGTCAGTCTTGTGATTAAGAAGCAGAAGTGATCGGGGACGTTTAGCAAGAGATTTCGGGCAGATCCCATATACAAGTTTCTCCTGTCTCCATTCTGCTACCTAAAAAAATATAAATTAGTATATTATGGTGCTATAGGAAGTTTAAGATTAATATAAAAGAGCATCTATGAAAGTGACCAAAAAGTTTTCATAGTTCAGAATACTGAGAATATTCATAACCAACACTTAGAAACCAACAACTGTTCAAAAGGCTTTATAATTATTTCAAGGTATACAGTGTCAACAAAATCATTATTTTGAAGGTCTATAAATGAGACTTTTGGTTTAATCTGACAAGAAAAGCTGAAGAGTAAAGTATTATTGATGCTTTTGCACCAGTGAATTCAAGTTTGTTGTAGTGAGAACAAATTATCACCTTCAAGATCCATTTTTGAATAAGTTTATTTCAGTCTTATGGCTGAAGTTCTAGAATATTACAGCTGGAACAGTACAGTGCTATCCGGTTCCAGTTACTTTTTTCTTATGCATATGTTTAATTTAAAAGCTGCTGGAATATGAAAAAACACATCTGTTTTGCTCAAGTGCATTTTATAATGAGGAGTCTAACCTTTCCAAAACAATCTTCTGCACATAGCATTTCAAGCATAGTATTTAATAAACAGAAGAACCAAAATCACTTTTGGGTACAGAAAGAGAAAATTCAGATCCAGTTACAGCTAAGCCTGTTTATCAGCCTCCATAGCTTGTATCATCAGCAGGCTAAGGCAGCTGGGGAAAGATTCAGCTCACTTAAAAGAGCATGTTTAGGACTTCATTATAGTTAGAGTTCCAGTAAGATTAGGTGATGCAAATCCTACCTGTCAAGTAACTTCACAAAATCAGGCACTAATACAAATCTAAATTAATGCTATTATACGTTATCGTAATGATTCAGTGCATTTGAATTTATTGCCAGAAGACAATTTTTCTTCCAAGCCTCCTCTTCCAGGTATGTGGTGATAACCCCACACCAACACAAGTGGTGCCTGTCAGGGAGGTTTGGTTTATTTAGGTATTGCCATGCTAAGTCATCTGTGCTTGCACACTTCATAGAATGCATACACTTCAACTGCAAAAAATTACAGAACACTTAATCTAGAGGAAGAAGTCCATACTTCACTTAAGATCCAATGGCTTATTTTATTTTACCGTTCAGCTCATTATTTTCTGTTCAGATGTTTCTAACTTCAGCTGGCAGTTACTGAAGATGAAGACAGAATATTCAAGAGCTGTCTAGTATCACTCTAACTTCTACATACCAGGAATTTATGAAGTCACCTCTTCTGAAAGCAAAAATAAATGAGGCTTGCCAAATCTTATTACAAAGTAGATTTGCTATAACTGAAGTAATTTAAACCTTTCCTGAACCATTCCCAACTTCCACTGTCATTTCTTATACAACAATATTGATGAAATAAAGTGAGTTGTCAAATGTAGCAGTTCCCTGAAACAGTCATAGCATCGAAGCTGCATTACCAAACCATTTCAACAGGAAAGCTAAAACAAAAAGGATACTGGTCTGTTTGAGGTCTTCGGAAGTTCTCTGGTAGATTAGCTTCATAGAGTAGTCTTGCTTTAGTATTTCCCATTTCCTGCATGCACTAAGGAAAAGTGGTAAAAAACAGTTAGTTCATGTCCATCAATACCCTAAAACCTGAAACAGTCAGAATGCTATTGATGTGCTTAGAGTTTTTAGTTTTTGCTGCTGTTATGTCTTAGGAGGTGCTCCCCTAGCACAGGAGGGCTGCCTGCCAAGACTTGCTGGACAGAAGCTAACAGCACAGGTGCTGGTTACAGTGTAAGTTAAGCCATTCAGTGGAAGATGAGCTTTCATGTCTCAGGATGGCTCTTGAGACCAGGAGGAACTGGAGTAAGAAAATTTGCCTGGCAGCAGACAGGGGCTTCAGACTGGAGCACATGTGAAAAAGCCAGTAATTGGTACACCAAAAGACTGTAACCAAGAATCAGACAGGTGTGTGAATGCTACCTTGCTGTCCCGTACCAAAAAGGCTCGCAACACATTTCCTACAGATACAACAAAAAAGCACCTTTCAGAGTCCCCATGGCACGCTATAATACATCTAAAATGACACAGAAAAGATTGATAAATCAATTTCTGAAGTGAGTTTTCAGAACTTAAACTCATTACAGTAGAAATGTAACACATTAAGAACAACTTTGATCATAAATATTTAAGTTGGGGCATCATGATAAACTCAAATCCTTTCCAAAGGACTCCTGGCATTCCTTTCAAACCAGAAAACATATTTTAAGATATTTTACCTGTATTTGCTCTGGTGTCCATTGGTCCAAGTTGACAGACTTAACCCTTGATATATGGACCCCAAGGTTTCGATGTATTCCAGCACATCTGATGCAAATAAAAACACCAGTGTTCCAAGAGGCCCACCTTGGACCTAAGGGGAATGGGGAAATAAATTAATTATTTTCAAAATTCCAAAGATTTTCTTTGGCATAATTCTAAACTGACAAAAGGAATAAAAATGTCTAAATGAGGGTTTGCAGTTGTTTCTCTAGGGTATCTATTACTTCTAGCCATCTCCATTATTAGCAATTTACGGCTTTCTAGTTCTAAGTGATGTCACATAAAATCTGAATTACTCATATTCAACTAGGAAGTCATATGTTGTGTCCACCACCCTCCCCCCATAATAAAAACCCAAACAAACTTTAGAAACCTGGCTTACTAGGAACAAGAAAGTTTTCATTACATCTTGACTAATCCTTACAGCTATGCATCAGATGCAATCATCAGCAGGAGTCAGTAGAATTTGCCCTTTTTCTCCAATTAAAAGCTTCCTAAGACATGTAGCTGGACTTAACTTGCAATTAAAGGCAGGGCAATCTTATATCAACGCAACAAATCCTTTAATACTTCATATAGCACAGACTTTACAACAGTAGCATGGTGGAAAACTGAATACATTCAGTACTGTTGACTCCTACACTACTATTTGAGTTGCCACTGACAGCCCAATGAATTTCCTCACAGAGCTGGGTTGATTTAGGAACCTTAGCACTGATTCTCAGCTATGCTTGCATTTTGAGACAGACCTAAAGTATGGTGCCTGAACTCCCAGTTACACTTGGGATCTTTGACTTGAAGTTACTACAGAGTCTCAAATTAAACACATTTTTATTGTTTCATTCCACCTGTGTACACCACCACTGTTAAAGGCACTGCTTTGGAGCCCATCTAGTTCTGAACTCTAAGGAATTCAGAGATTAAATAATTAAAAATCAAAAACAAAGAGGCACATTGAAGAGATGGAAAATACTTTGAGCAATTATTTTCTGCCTTTGTATGACAAACGCACATCTACATCACTCATGAAACTGCCGAAGTTTGTGTTTCAATATTAATGTATCGTATGAACACTTTCCTGGGGCCTAGAAAGAATTTTATGCCTCCCTCTCCTGATCTTTAGCTTAGGACTGTGTCAGGTTGATCCCAGCCAAGCACACACAGAGCTGCTTGCTCACTCTCCCCTCCTGCAGGACAGGGAAAAAAGAAAAGGAAGGTGATAAGACTTGCAGACTGAGCTAACAACAGTCTTGATAAATGAAGCAAAAATTGCACATGTGAAAAAAAAAAAAACAAAAAAAAAAAATTCCCCACACCAATGGATTTCTTCACTACTTCCCATCAGAAGGCAGATGCCCAGACATTCCTAGAAAGCTGGGCATGAGCACACACAAAACTTGATTTGGAAGACAACACCATAACCAAGAACCTCCTTTCTTTCTTCTCCTTTCCTTGAGCATTTATTGCTCAGCACATCATTATATGATATAGAATGGTTGAGTCAGTAGCTGTCCCAGATGTGTCTCCTCCCAATTTCTTGCCTACCCATCTCTAACCTACTCATCTGCAGGAAGCAGAAGAGAAGAAAAACAAACAAACAAAAAACCAAAAAACAAACAAACCAACCAACCAAAAAAAAAAACACAAAACAAAACAAAAAAAAAACAACCAAAAAAACCACCAACCAACCACCCCAACAGAAAAGCCTCGAGAGTCTACAAGCACTGCTCAGCAATAGCCAAAAGGAGGAGGCAGAAGAAATTTTTTCAGTTAGACTCCATTGTTTTGAATTGGTATGTGAAAACCCCAAGACACATGACAGCTCCCCATATTTGTTGCAAGAAGCCCTCCTCTTACTAGTGGGAACACTGGCTATATTTTGGGTAGCCACCTTGCTTTTAATTTGTCTTGTTCAAGATCTCAAAAAGTCAGATCACCTGATGTGCACTGTTTGACCTTTAAGCCTGTAACGATTAATATGAGTGGCAGTTTTCACAGTAAATGCTACTACCATAAAATTAGACTTCAGAGGTCAAGAGATCTAACAGTTACTCACTGAAACCAACACATCATTTCCCACATGGCACTTCTAAGTTAAAACTGCTACTTGTCGGGTAAGAAAAAGCAGTCAAGCTGTTTATACTGTGTGTCTTAAATAGTTCACAAATAGCAACCTGTTGACCTGCTTTTTTATTTTCCCCTATAAATCACTACAGATACAATACTCGCCCTGTCCTTAAGAGTCTGTGCAGAATTATAGTACAGGAAGATCCCACTTAAAATTTATTCCACTTTTAAGTCTCAGTGCTCTAGGATAGAGCTTTGCAGGCCATTTGCCCAAACATATTAATCAAGTTTCAACTAAAGTAGTACACCAGAAGAAACTTAATAAAAAAACCCTACTTAGCTTATGCGATTGCTTAATGTAACTGTGAAGGTTTAGAAACAGGAAAGGCGATGCAATGTCTTCTGTGCCCAACAGCTTCTCCAGTTTTTCCACAAAACTATAACCCAAGGATGTGCCCTCTAAAGAAGGAAGCAGTGTTGATCAGGTTTAAACAGGAGATGTTTATACCTTTACTACAAGAAAGACATTGAGGTGCTACAAAGAAGGGCAACAAAGCTGGTGAAGGGTCCAGAAAACAATGTTAAAAGGAGCGGCTGAGGGAACTGGGGTTGTTCAGCCTGGAGAAAAGGAGGCTCAGGAGAGACCTTACCACTATTTACAACTACCTGAAAAAAGATTGCAGCAATGTGGGGATCAGTGTCTTCTCCAAAGCAACAAGCAATATGACAAGAGGAAATGCCCTCAAGTAGCCTCAGGGGAGGTTTAAATTGGATATTAGAGAACATTTTTTCTTCAATAGAGTTATCAAGCATTGGAACAGGCTGCCCAGGGAAGTGGTTGAATCACCACTCCTGCAGGTATTTACAGGATGTGCAGATGCGGCGGTTAGGGACATGGCCTAGTGGTGGACTTGGCCATGCTGCCTTAACAGATAGCCCTGATGATCTTTAAGGTCTCTTCCAACCTAAACAATTCTATGATTCTGTGACCTGTTGTGTCTATATGGTGCCCATATTTTTATCCTATAGTGTCTACATACCCACTATAAACTTTTTACCACAATGGCATTTGTAGAACTACACACTGCATGAGATTCCTACTTTTCAGGTTCTCCCTCAGCTACGATATCCCAGATAGGCAAGTTCTACATTAATGAGACAAGACCAGAATGAGGGCTTGACATGACTGAAATCTATCTTAATAAATGAAGAGAGAGTTCATTAACTCTGTAGTTTTAATATTTTAACTTAAAATGTCGTTAACAAAAAGAAAGATCATAAAGCAGCTTGTGAATTAGCTGGTTTTCTCCTGGAAAAGGACAGTTTTGTATATTCCCAGAAGCTCAGACTTCATTAATTTGTACTTATTTCTGAAAAAAAACTTAGGCAAATCAAATATATTTAAGCAATAAAGTAACAAATTAGGCAGTGGGATAACAGACAAACCTGAGGCCAGACAAAAATGTTCATGTGCAATCTCTGAATTTATTTCAGACTAATGACAATATGCAATACTAAACACTTCAAATGAAAAATGTTTTAATTAATACAAATCAATTACAGACACAGTTAAGCAATAGGCAGAAGTAGCTACAAAATAATGTCTTCTGTGTGGGCATGAAACCAGCTGTGTTTGACTTAACAAAAGAGTCAACTACAGCTTAGTCTGTAAACCTGCCAGGGTGAGAAATGTTTAACAGTAATTTGGACAGATTCAATACACAACTTACATTTATCTCAATATTGCACAAGGTCAGGACCCTTATTTCTGCACATAGGAAATATTTTGTACTTAATAGAAATACTAACAGGTTTGTTCTTGTTGAGTCTTTAAGGATACCTTAGGTCTTCTTCAGCAAAATTTACAAAAGTAACCTAGTTTATCTGCTGTATGTCTCCTGCAAGCCAATTAAGAATATGAACATTTGGCTTCAGAAACGAAGACTGGACATTAAGAATCTTCAAGACTGCTATTTAAAACACCTTTACATGTCAGTAGTAATGCTACCTTATCTATCAAAACCTGTTTTATACAGTGCAACTCCAATCAGCCAATATCAACATGAAAAACTGTTTGACACAAGGTTTAATACCACTGTAACCTTCTTCTTTTGAAATCCATCTGAATACGAGGTTTTTACTAGATGAGTCGAGCTGCACTTCTGCAGCTTGCAGCACCCCTCTGATATAAAAATACACTTCCAGTAATTTCTTCAGTCATTTCATATACAAATAACGTAACTGCTCAAAGACATTCTCAGCCTCTTTCATCCTTTACTAAAATTAATTTAAGGAAAAACGCCATAGGATTTGTACTGTCCTGAAAGGGACCAATGTTTATACTAGACTGTATACTACAATACCATGAAGTCCCTGAAACATTGCCTGAATGAAACTAGGAAAAAAATTCAGCAACTCAAAACCAGATTGCTCCTTCCAAAATGAGAATCTATTTTATTTTTCCTTCAATCTGAACTTTTCTTTCTTTTCTGATTGTCTACTGATTAGACTTAAATTTGCTTTTCACTTCTTAATAGGTAGTCAGGTAAGGTCAGCAGTGAAGGTGGGTGCTGTTTTTCAGAGAAATTATCAAGACAAGATTCTGAATGCATTAGGTCATTCTTCTGAACACTTGACAATCTTCCTTAGGATGGTCTGACATTAACAATTTAAGTACCTCTTAAAATAACTCATCTGGAACAAAAGGTCTGTCATGCATATTTAGTCTTACTGGCAACTGTAATTCAGTTCCCTTCATAAAAAGTAGTGATTAAGTTTTGATTGGAAATTTAAACACAGCACAAGCGCAAACTTCTTGAAAGAGCTCAACAGAAAGATGGATTAATCTGGAGCTTTGGTTATTATATGTTAAATGGAGAACACCAAGCAACATCTCCCACTGCACTGGGCCTGGCTGAGATGGAGTTAACTTGCTTTCCTCCTCGCTCCCACCCAGCACACAGCAGGAGGACGAGAGGCCAGAATGGGACACAGCCATGGGCAGCAGAGCCCAGCTGACTAAAG